ATTTTAATCCAGAACATTTCCATCAACCTCTTCCCAGCCAGAAAAAAAAAAAAAAACATGCCAGTAGTGGACATTCTTAATTATTTTCAAGCCACTAAAATTGGCAGTGTCAATCTGCTGTTTCTGGATATACCTATTCTGAGCATCACTTTAACATATTATTTTGAAGGTTCAACTATATGGTATCATGTGTGACTACTTCATTGTATTTTATGGCTAATATTCCATTGTAGGAATATATCAGGTTTTGCTTATTAGTTGACAAACATTTGATTATTTGATTATTATACTTTAGGTCAAGTATAAACAGTGCTGTTTTTTTGTGTGTGGCCATATGTTTTTAGTTCTCTTGGATGTACACTGAGGAATAGAATTTCTGCGTCATATGATATTATATAACTTTTTTTTTGTCCATCAGTTGTTGTGCATTAACTCATGGTTTGAGCGCTCTCCCTGAGCTTTTTCACTCAAGGTTAGTGCTCTATCACTTGAGCCACAGCTCCACTTCCAACTTTCTGGTGGCTAATTGGAGATAAGAGTCTTATAGACTTTTCTGCCTGTCTTGGCTTTGAACCATGATCCTCAGTTCTCAGCCTCCTGAGTAGCTAGGATTACAGATGTGAGCCACAAGTGCCCATAGCTTTTCAAACTTTTGTATTAAATTGCAACTTCATATTTTAAAAGCACATACATTACAGTCTTTTAACTTCAAATTTTCACGAGATGAACATACCCAAGTATCCATTGCCATATCCAAAACTAAAATATGGCCAACACCACCAAGTGCCTTGTCATATTCTCTTCCAGCATCTTCCCTATTCTGATTGCTGTCTCAGGTGAACATTGTATGTAGATGTGCCAATACTGGGGCTTGGATTCAGGGCTTCATACTCTTGCTCTGCTTTTTCACTCAGGGCTGGAACTCTGCCTGATGCCGGTGGCTCATGCCAGTAATCTTAGCTACTCAGAAGACTAAGATCTGGTTTTCCCTGAAAGAAAGTTTGTGAGACTCTTACTTCCAGTTAATCACAAAAAAAGCCAGAAGTGAAGCTGTGGCTCAAGTCACAGAGCTCTAGCCTTGAGCAAAAAAACACAGGGATAGTACACAGGCCCTGAGTTCCAGCCCCAGCACCAGCTTCTAGCTTCTGGATTATTTTCATGGTTTACTCTTGTTTGTAGCATGCCTAACTAAATGTTCCATTTCTTTTTATGGCTAAATGTTCTATTGTATGGATATATTACATTTTGTTTCTCCATTTATCAGTTGATAGATTTCTGATTGTTTTTACTCTTTTAGCTATTGTAAATAGTGCTTCTATTCACATATCAGTGTTTGTATGGAAATGTGTTTTCATTTGTCTTGGAAATGGACCGAGGGGTAAAATGTGAGGTGAAGCCAGGACTGGTGGTTTACACCTGCAATCCTAGCTACTCAGGAGGCTACCTTGGTCAGGGAAGTCCGTGAGACTCTTAGCTCCAATTAACCATTAGAAATCTGGAAGTGGTGCTGTAGTTTAGTGGTAGAGCATTAGCTTTGAGCAAAAGAGCTCAAGGACAACACCCAGGCCCCCCAGTTCAAGCCCCAGGACCGCAAAAAAAAAAAAAAAAAAAAAAAAACAGGGGGCTGGGAAGATGGCTCAGTGGTAGAGTGCTTGCCTTGCATGCTTGAGGCCCTGGGTTCGATTCCTTAGCACCACATAAGCAAGAAGAAAAAAGCCGGAAGTGGCACTGTGGCTCAAGTGGTAGAGTGCTAGCCTTGAGCTGAAGAGCTGAGGGATAGCGCCCAGGCCCAGAGTTCAGGCCCCATGACCGGACCCAAAAAAAACAAAAATAAAAAATACATTTATTTTTGTCAGTTGTGGGGCTTGAACTCAGGGCCTGGGTGGGCACTGTCCCTGAACTTTTTCACTCAAGGCTAGAGCTCTACTGCTTCATACCACAGTGCCATTTCTGGTTTTCTGGTGGTTAATTAGAGATAACAGTCTCATGAACTTTCCTACCTAGGCTGACTTTGAACGGTGATTCTCAGATCTCAGCCTCCTGAGCAGCTGGGATTATAGACATGAACTACCAGCACCTGGCTCTGTTTAGCTTTCTCAGGAACTGCCTGTTTTCCAAAGCAATGCTCCACTTTACCACGCACGATGTATGAGGGATCCAGCTTTGTCATATCCTTGCCAACACTTGGTACTTTTTTTTAAAATTTCAGTGCCAGTCCTGAGGCATCAGAGCCTGGGTGCTGCTCCCTGAGTTTTAGTGCTTAAGGTTGATACTCTGCCCCTTGAGCTATAGCTCTACTTACAGCTTTTTAAAATTTGAGTTAAGAGTCTCACCAGGACTTTCCTGCCTGGGCTGGCTTTGAACCTCAATCCTCAGCTTTCAGCCTCCTGAGTGGCTAGGATTATAGGCATGAGCCACTAGTAACAGGTTTTTGCTGTCTTTTAAATGACACCTATCCTAGTATGTTTAAATAGTACCATATTTTGGTCCTGATTTGCATTTTCCTAGTGACTGATGATGTGAAACATCTTTTAAGGTGTTTGAAGAACATTTGTGTATTTTCTTTGAAAGAACGTGTATTCACACTCTGCATTTCTAATTGTATTGTCCTTTTATTATAACAAAATAAGTCAGTTAAGTTGTTACTTGACCCTTACCAGATAGACGATTTGCTAATATTTTCTTACATTCTTACATTTTAAGTGTGCTTTGAAGTACTGCTGGACTATTTTTAACATATTTAAAAATCTTAAACTAAATTATAAATACATGATAGGCCTTTAAATTATACTTTTTTTTGTATGTGCACTAGAACTTGAACTCTGGGCCTTATACTCATCTTTTTCAATCAGGGCTGGTGCTCAAATACTTGAGCCACACCTCCAGTTCTGGCTGGTTAATTGGTAATAAGAGTCTCACAGATTTGTCTGCCCAGACTGGCTTTGAACCTTAATCCTCAAATCTTAGCCTCTTGAGTAGCTAAGGGTTAACAAGCCTGAGCCACCAGTACCCAGCTAAGTAATCCCTAATATTTTTTGGTGATACTAGGGTTGAGCTGAAGACCTCAGCCTTGCTAGGCCAGGTACTCTACCACTTGAGCCCCACCTCCCACCCCAAATTATACTTTTAAATATAATAAGAAATACAATTTTATGAGCAAGCTATTTATTGTATGCAGAACATGTTTTGAGGCTTCCAAACAAGGAGTTTTGAGTTCATGAAGAAACTCATCATTTAAAAGTGACAGTTATTGGGCTGGGAAGGTGGCTCAGTGGTAGAGCGCTTGCCTTGCATGCATGAGGCCCTGGGTTCGATTCCTCAGCACCACATAAGCAGAAAAAAAAAAGCCGGAAGTGGCGCTGTGGTTCAAGTGGTAGAGCACTAGCCTTGAGCTGAAGAGCTGAGGGACAGTGCCCAGGTCCAGAGTTCACTCCCTACAACTGGACCAAAAAAAAAAAAGTGACAGTTATTAGTTATATAGCACTTTAAGTGCTAGGTGCTGTATAACTCATTTAATTCCTTACCAACTCTGTGAGATAGTTTTGTGCTGCTACTCATTGTACAGAAAAGAAAATTCACGGGCTGTGAAGGTGGCTCAGTGGTAGAGTGCTTTCCTTGCATGCATGAGGCCCTGGGTTCGATTCCTCAGCACCACATAAGCAGAAAAAGCCAGAAGTAGCACTGGCTCAGGTGGTAGAGCGCTAGCCTTGAGCTGAAGAGCTGAGGGACAGCACCCAGGCCCCAGAGTTCAGGCCCCATGACTTGAAAAAAAAAAAAAATTCAGGAAATGGAAACAAGAGATTTTTCCTTTTTGTTTTCTTTGTCTTGTTTGTTCGTTTGCCTGTCTTATGGAGGGCAAGGGGGAACACAGAAATAAAGGGACAAAGGGTGAACAAATGCAGCAGTGGTACTCATTAGACACTATGTTGAAAATGAACTGTATGACTTGTGGGTGGGGATGGGAAGAAAAACAGGGAGAGCGAGGGGAAGGGGTGACATTGTCATAAAAGAAACGTACCCTTTACCCAACTTATGTAACTGTACATCACCTTTATAGTAACAATAAAAAATATTTACAAAATAATTTTTTTAAAGTTTGCCTGCAATCTGAGTGAATAGCAAAGACAGGCTTCGCATTTCATTGCCCGCAAACACCTGACAGACTGACCGGGCTGAATTAACCAGCGTAAAGAGCTACCTTTTGGCTTGGAGGGTGAGGAGAATGTTTTCCTGGCATCTGTACTGTGGACATTTTCCTCTCTTCACCAACCCAGAAACTAGAGCGCCCACCCCCCACATCCCGTCATTTTCACTGTGCCTCTGTGCTCCCAGTCCCAAGCCCCTCATCTTTTATGTGCTTCGAAGTAACTGAGAAATTGTTTTCCAGGTGGAATGGTTCGAAATTTCTGTGCCCAATGAGTGCTCATAACCCAGTGGGTTCAAAGCGAGCAGTGGGCGGAGCCGCCGAGGGGCGGAAGGATCCCGGCGGCCAGGCCTGCGAGTGAGCAAGGGAATGAGCAAGCGGACCTAGTGGAGCCATGAGCTGGACCTGCCCGCGTTGCCAGCAACCTGTTTACTTTGGTGAGGTCCGGACTGAGGAGGGGGAAAAATGGGGGCAAGTGTGAGCTGCTTGGGTTCCCTGGGAATGGCGATGGTGTGGCCCAGACAGCTTTTTCTACCTGTAGCCATGCTTGCGTGTGATTCCCCTGCTCTCTGCCAGCGAGCCCCATGGGGCACAGGGCACCGGGGTTGGATGGAGCCGGACTCCCTGCAGGCATTATGTCTGTCTCCAGGGAGCAGCGCTGGTGGGCTCTTCCTCCTGGGGACTAAAGGGGTAAAAGGAAGCTGTCTGGTGCAATTTTGGCTGTATGGAGCTCTGTTCTACCTTGTTCCTCACAGCTGAGAAAGTGAGCTCCATGGGCAAGAACTGGCACCGCTTCTGCCTGAAATGTGAACGCTGCCACAGCGTCTTGTCCCCTGGTGGACATGCAGAGGTGAGGCCTGCCCAGGATATACAGCCTTGTCTCTTCTCCCAACTGGCCCCCAACTTCAGCTTGGAAGCCAGCCAAGGGCAGCCTCACCAGCTAAGTTCAGGGTCACCCACCCAATGGGCCTCACACCAACCAAGCTTTGTGCCATGACGCCACAGCTTGGGGGTGGGTACACACAGTCACCTCCCCTTCCACCCCTACCTGTTTTTGCTCTGTCCCTGCACTTCAGTGGCCATTCTGGCATGCCAGCCTATCACCCACCCTTTCTAGTCTTTCTAGAACGGGCCAGTGGACACATACCTGGCAGCTTAGCTTGGGGAAGGCCTGTGAGGCAGGGCCTCCTAGCTCTGAGTGACCCCCTTGCCTCTGGTTGTGCTTGTGCCCAGCACAATGGGAGGCCATATTGCCACAAGCCGTGCTATGGAGCTCTCTTTGGACCCAGAGGTAAGTACTAGCCTAGAAGGCCAGGGGCCACAGAACCCTGCCTGTGGCTGGGAACTAGGGCTTCAGACCTGACACTCCTTCCCCAACTGGGTGATTCTCTGCAGGAGTGAACATTGGTGGTGTGGGCTGCTACATCTACAACCTCCCCACTCCTCCTGCCAACAGCACTCCCCTCAGCCCTAGTGATTTCAGCCCCCCAAGGCCACGGACAGGCCTCCCCCAAGGCAAGAAAAGTAAGTAAAGCTCCTCCTCCCACCCTTCCAGATGCAGCTAAGCTGGGTCTCAGTCTTTTACCAGCCCTCTGCTCCAAAGTGCTACAACTTAGTGCTTAACAAAGTCCATGGGCCCTTTTTTGATGCTCCCTCGGATCTGCTGCTGAGTGGTTAACTGGATAGATGGCATTATTACCTTCATTTTATATGAAGGCAACTGTGGTCCAGAGAGGACAAGAGATCCTGTATATCACACAGGTGATTATACAGGTTTTTGCCTCTGAGGCAAAGCTAGCCTGGAACTTAGGTCTCTTCCGGAGTCAGGCTCACACCATGGAAGGAAAGATGTATGAGTGAGGGGTTATTAGGATCCAGGCCCTCAGAATCTTCATCTTCTCTAGTCCATGTTCTTCCTACCCCGTGGAGTAGGCAAGGATAACCTGACACCTCTGCCCTGGCCAGCTCCTCTATCAGCTAAGGTTTCCTGAAGATTGAGTTGCTAACAGGGTTGGATTGTGGTGCACCTGAGCCCCCGGGGTGGGGGTGGGGGGAGGGAGGCAGATAACAAGGAAATCATCCTTATTACATAAAGGAACGGGGCAAGAAGCAGGGCCCAAGGGGCCTTGCTCTGGGCTCTAAGAAGGCAGATTCATGGCTGTCCAGGAGATGGGAGGAGAAACAGGATGGATTTTGGAGGGGGACAGTGCCTCGTACAGATAGGCCCTGTACCTCACCATAGCCAAAGCCAGGGCCTCTTCCCCATAAAGGCCCTCCCCACATGAAGACATTCACTGGGGAGACTTCCCTGTGCCCCGGCTGTGAGAAACCCGTCTATTTTGGTAAGTGACAATGGGATGTTTGTGAAGGGAAACACCGGGTGGTGACACGGAGATCTCAGGCAGGTGGGCCACTCCGCCCTGCCGTGCCCTGCCCTGCTCTGCCCTAAGATGGAGAACTACCACCTCTCTCCACCACCAGCTGAGAAGGTGATGTCTTTGGGCAGAAATTGGCACCGACCCTGCCTGAGGTGCCAGCGTTGCCAGAAGACCCTGACTGCTGGAAGACATGCGGAAGTGAGCAGGGCAGGGAGGGGCTAGGCTGAGGGAGGAAGATTAGACATGGAAAGAACAGGAGGCTGAGATGACTTTTTCTCTTATGTTCCAGCATGATGGCATCCCCTACTGCCACATCCCCTGCTACGGCTATCTGTTTGGCCCCAAAGGTGGGTGGCCCCACCCCAGGTATACCCCAAGGTATAGCATGTCCATGATCTTGTACAGCTGTGTGCTCAACTTCCATTATAGTCAAACGCACTCTAGGTCACTCCCATCTCCCCTGCTGCCCCCTCTCCCCCCCTCCCCACACTCAGCCCAATACTCCCAATTTCTATTACCCTTGGTAATAAGGCTTTCTCCCTCAGGTGTGAACATTGGTGATGTGGGCTGCTACATTTATGAATGAAGATAAGATCCAAATGAGCTACTCACAGCAGAAGTCATCCTACCTAAGGCTTCTCACCATCCCCTTCCTGGCCCAATGGGGGCTACACAATTTGCCATTTTCTTGGGGTGAGGGAAGATAAGATCCTGGGGGCTGAGCCTAGGTTTCACGGTAGATCTCTTTCTTTTTCCTATTTGGTTAGAGGACTTACGCCACCTCAATTTAAATGGTAGCCTACTGACCTTCCCAATTCCTTTCCGGGCAAATTCTGGAGCTTCAAGCTATGTCATCAAACTTGCTTATTGAGCCTCAGTGTCTCCAGCTTCTCTAATAAAATATTGGCTTCTATGCCTTCAGCATTTTTTTGGGTGAGAGGTCTAAACAGCAGATTGTGTCCGAGGGGTCCTGAGAGTGACTCAAGATAGCAGCATAAAAAGAGGTAAGAGTAGGGTCTGGGAAGGTGGCTCAGTGGTAGAGTGCTTGCCTTGCATGCATGAGACCCTGGGTTCGATTCCTCAGTACCACATAAGCAGAAAAAGCCAGAAGTAACACTGTGGCTCAAGTGGTAGAGTGCTAGCCTTGAGCTGAAGAGCTGAGGGACAGCGCCCAGGCCCAGAGTTCAGGCCCCATGACCGACAAAAAAAAAAAAATAAATAAAAAAGCATTAAGTCATGGCACACAAAGCTCTGTTTTCCTGGTCCCCTGACCCTCTTCTGGGTAGCCCCTAACACAACTGGACAGTATACCTGCTAGCCTCATTGGTACCAGTAGTCATCATAGGACAGTCCCTTCTTTAGTACCATCTCTAGAATAAGTACCTTATTTGGTTTGAGTATGACAACGTGTTCTGTGGAAAGCTCTGCTAAGAGGCTGTTTCATCCATTGGAGAAATGAACAGAGTAAAGCCTAGAGAAGAAAAGTCATATACCCAAGATCACAAAGACGATCAGTGGCAAGGCTGGGAACAGAGCCCATTGCCGGTCCAATGGCTTCTCATCCAAGGCTCTTTCCAAATCTCATTGCTGCCTCAACCCAAGAAGTACCTTTATTTATAGAAAAGAGTCACAGAATCCCCCAGCCAAGAGAAGGGTGCCCAGAATCTCTAGCAGCCCATGGCATTCTGGGAGGTTGTCCTGCTACTTGCCAAACAGTCAAGGCTGATGAACACAGGCAGAGGACACAGCAACCTTCAGCCCTAGGCAGGCTCTGTGGTCCACCCCCAGTCACAAGAATCTGCCTCTGCTCTCTCAGTGCTGCTTCAGAGCTTCTCTGCGTGCCTCTCCTCAGTTCCATTCAGTCCACACTGCATCTCTTCCTCCTGATGGCTGGGGAAGGGGTTGGGAGCAATGTGGGGTTTAATCTTGGAGTCTGCTGCCCCTTCCTAGGCTCTTCCTAGCTCATGGAATAAAAACAGATGCTTGTGAACATCCCTGATGAGCAGGCATAGCTGAGTGTGCACACCTGAGCCTCTTCTTGATCACCCTTAGGTATTTATGTGCACACGCATATATGAACTTGTATATTTTTCTGCAAACAGCACATCCCAGGATATCACCTGAAATACACACTCATGTACATGTGCCAAGTACATTTGTGCAGTTATGTTTTCCCTTCTGCATCCTCAGGTGTGAGGGATCTGAACCGCCCCCCCACACACACACCTCATTTTCTCCACATCCTGGATGGTCTCTGGCAGTTGGGCCTTCCTGGTCTCTGGCAGCAGGAGGGCAATGCAGCCAGCCAGCAGGGCAATGCCCCCGTAAACCAGCTTGGGCAGCAACAACCACACTCCATCCAGCAATGCCGCTAGTGGGGCCAAAGAGCCCCCCAGCCTGCCCACCAGCGAGGCCAGGCCCAGCCCCGTCTGTCTGTTCAGAAGAGAGGGTGAGAGAGGCTTTGGGTTTGGGGTCACGCCTCAAAGGCTCCCTCCCTGAGCTGGCGGGTCTTGCGATCCCCTTCCAAAAGGCCTGCGCGGAGCCAGCGCCGCCAGAGGATGGGGTCCTATTCTGCCAACATGCCAGTCAGGCACAGCTAAAAGAAAAGTTCCAGGCAGGTTGAGAAAGAGGCGGGCAGCCCGCGGGGGCCCAGGCGCAGGCCGGCGGGGAGGGCCGGCCTTCCCGCTGTGAACGCGAGGGCGCGGTGGGCAGCCCGGCGCGCCTCGGGACGAGGCCACACCCCAGCGCAGCAGCCCCGCCCCCAGGCCGCCTCTACTCCGGGAGGTGTCTGACAAGCTCCGCCCAGGTCCCCTGGGCCTCGGTCGGCTCACCTGAGCACGGTGGGGTACAGCTCCGACGTGAAGAGGTAGGCGGTGGTGAAGGCCGCCTCAGAAAACATTTTTCCCACAACCGCCAGGGCGGTGGTCCAGGCCCTGGTCCCTGTGGAAGGGGTTCCAGCAGTGAGGAGGGGGCACCTCGGGGCGGGAGGGGGCGGAGTCTGGGCGGGCCTGGGGCGGGGCTAGAGACCGGATCTGGGAGGACAGGGGACGGGACTGGGGCGGGGTCTGGGCGGGCTGGAGGCGGAGTCTTGCGTGCAGGGGCGGGTATGGGGCGGAGCTTGGGGCGGGGTCTGGGCCGGCAGGGGGCGGGGCGCGGTCAGCTCACCTGAGGGCACCAGCAGTCTGACCCCGTAGGTCAAGGCCGCGCCCAGCAGCATCCCGGACAGCGTGAGGCGACGCCCTGCGCGGCGAACGCACAGGTAGACCAGGAGCTTGGAGGGCAGCTCCACTGCCCCGAAGAGCAGCTGCGTCTGGTACACGTCCAGCCCCAGCCCCGACAAGTCCAGAGTCAGGCCGTAATAGGAGACGTTCACTCCGAACCTGGGCGGGTCACCGCGCCACTCAGGGTCCTTTCCCGGGGGCTTGGTCTTGTCTAGGACGACCCCAGGTGACCCGCCCGCCCACCGCCCAGCTCACGCCCCCCACGCCGCGCCGGGCCCAGCCCACCCGCCCCTACCACACCACCACGCAGCACAGCGAGATGTGTCGGAGCCGTGGCGTTCGGAACAGGTCTAGGTAGGACGGTCTCTGGACCACACGTTCCCCTTCGGCCACTTTGTTCAGGGCCTGGTGGAGGAAGAGGCGAGATGGTGACACCAGTCTCTGTCTCTGTTACTGTGTCTGTCTGTCTTTCTCTCTCTTCTCTCTCTCTCCCTCCCTTCCTCCCTTCTTCTCTCCCTCCTTCTCTCCTTCTCTCTCCTCCCTCTCTCTCCCTCACTTTCTCTCTCTCCTCTCTCTGTCTCTCTCTCCCTCACTTTTTCTCTCTCTCCCTCTCTCTGGGTTTCTTTTCCTTCTTTCAGCCAGGTGGATGGAGGTGCTTGTGGGAGCCAAGAAAGTGTCCCCTGAGAAGCAGGACCCTCAGGAAGGTCATTCTGCAGGGCTTTTCCTGCCACGCCTGGCACCCCCAGGAGGCACTTGGCACGGTCCCTTCCCCCCTACCCACTCTCAGGCATGCACACATGCATTCATCCTCACCTCCTGGCTCAGTTCGTCCTCACCCACTGATTGACCATTGAGCCTGGCACAGCGGAGCAAGTACCCTCTGGCCTCCTCCACACGGCCCTGGGTCAGAAGCCAGCGTGCAGACTCAGGTACCCACCTAGAAGAGGCAGGACACCCTTCAGCCAGAAAGTCAGCGCCATGAGCCTCCCCTCTCCTGGCACATCCAGGTGGTCAACCTCTAGGCTCTTGCTCATGCAGTTCCCACCAATGAACTCTTAAAAGTCTTTTAATGCCCAATTAATTTAAAATTTAATGAGATTGTGTGTGTGTGTGTGTGTGTGTGTGTGTGTGTGTGTGTGTGTGTGTGTGTGTTGTGCTTACCAGTTAGGTGTCCTACTGTTTGAATCACAACCCTTTTTTGCTTTATTTTCAGATAGGGTCTTACATCTTTTGTCCCAGGTTATTCTCAAATCACAACCCCCAGCCTCTTATGGCTTCCTGTGTATCTGGGATGATAGGTGTGATCACCACACCCAGCTTATTGATAAAGGTTGGGTCTCACTAACCTTTTTTCTTTTTTCTTTTTTTTTGGTCACTCATGGGGCCTGAACTCTGGGCCTGGGCATTGTCTGTGAGCTCTTCAGCTCAAGGCTAGCACTCTACTACTTGAGCCATAGCATCTCTTCTGGCATTTTCTGCGTATGTGGTGCTGAGGAATCAAACCCAGGGCCTCAAGCATGCAAGGCAAGCACTCTTAACACTGGACCATCTTCCCAGCCTTTTTTTTTTGGTTGGTCATGGGGCTTGAACTCTGAGCCTGGGTACTGTTCCTCAGCTCTTCAGCTCAAGGCAAGTGCTCTACCACTTGAGCCACAGCGCCACTTCCTGTTTTCTGGTGGTTAACTGGAGATAAGACTCTCAAGGACTTTCCTGCTCGGACTGGCTTTGAGCCACAATCCTTACATCTCAGCCTCCAGAGTAGCTAGGATTACAGGTGTGAGCCACCAGCACCCGGCTCGGGCTGTTTTTCTTGATGTCTCATGCCTCTTGATTCCTGTTTCTCGCTCCCTTCATCTTTCAGTCTCTCTGTTGTTGAACCCATCTCTGATACTCTTCCTCCACCCCCCAGCTGTGTGCAGCCTCACCAGATGCTGAGGATGCCTGGGACACAAGGCAGGGTGGCAGCCAGCAGCAGCCATCGCCAGTCCCGGATCAGGTACCCAACCAGAGCCAGCAGCAGCACTCCTCCTGTCCAGAAGATGGTGCTCAGCACTCCGGCCACCACCCGGTGTTCCACATCCAGCCACTCCAACTCTAGGCCCAGGGCCAGGCCAGACACAGGAAGAAAGGAAGCGAGGCTCAGATGTGCCTTCTCACCAAACAATGGGTCCCCTCAGCCCTCCTGGCCTCCAGACCCTTCCTTGCCTCACCCAGTGGCAGCACAATGATGGTGAACCCTGCCAGGGCTGAACCAGTGAGGGTGCGGGTGATGACAAACATGACATAGCTGACAGAGGCTGCGGACACCAGGCTCAGCACCAGGGAGCTCGCATAGGCCACCAGCAGCAGCCGGCGCCGCCCAAACCTGCCAGCAGAGGATCACCCAGAGTCAGTACCCTGTGGAGCCACCTCCAGCTGGCAGGGGACAGTCCCCCAGCCTGTCCCCTTAGTAACCCCGTGTTACACCCCACCTGTCAGACAGATATCCGAAGAGCACAGCCCCCACCAGCACACCCACAAAGAAGAAGGTGGACGTCAGTTTGCTGAGGCCTTTCTGCTCACAGACCAGATCCCACTGCAAAGACAGATGGGCAGGAGCTCCAGCGGGGTGAGGCCCCCTCCAGCTGGCAGAGCCCCTCCTCTCCTGACCCTGGGGGTCTTCTGCAGCACCCAGCCCTGCCTGTCTCCTTCCTCCCAAAGGTTTTGACCAGAGAGCATAAGTTCTGCCCGCCTCCCCCCCACACCCAACGAGATTCTACCCCCATCCACACGGCATAGGGGCATAGATCCAGATGGATTGCACAAATCACAGATCTAGTATCGGAAAAGAAGACAGAAATAGGGAGAAAGGAGGCCTCTGTGGACCCTCCACTTCTCACTGCAGAACTGTCCTTCTCAACTCTTTGTTCTGACTCCCAGAAACCCCTTCGCCCTTCTCCACCTTCCTCACCCCTCAGGGGTGAGTTCCTACAGGCCACAAACTAAATTCAGTGCTTTATCTTCATAGACCCTAGGTCCAGATGGGTAAGCTGGGCGTCTAGGGGGTGAGGAAATGTATCGAATGGCCACACAGCAATTAGCCCACAAAATGGCAGGCCCATCCTGCTCACCTGTCTCCCCCCACACACACCCCTGCGCTCGGGTACCTCAGTTGCAATGGTGGAAGAGAATTCTGAGCGGTCATATTCCCAGCCCTGGGAGCAGGGCACTGTGGAGGGTTGGCTTTCCAGGTCCCCAGGACTCTGCATCAGTCCCCCCAGGGTGGTGTTGGGGAGAACCCAGGGGGAGGCAAATTGAAGACAGGAGCTAAATGTGCCGTCGGGCTCCCTGGGCAGGTGGGCCTCCAGCCATGCGTCCTGGTGGCTGAAGTTGGCCGGGGCTTGAGGCAGAGCACAGTGATGGGCGGGTGTGGTAGACAGGAAGACAGGCAGTAGGAAATGCAGGGGGAGCAGCACTCGAGGCAGGGCCAGTAGGAGCAGATTCCGGAGCTGGAAGGGCCCGAAGCCACCCACCTTGTCCAGCAGCTCCTCAAAGCCCATGCTGCCCACCCACTGGCTGCTCCCAGTAGTAACTAGCACCGCTCAGCCTGCTCACCACATGGACCCTTGGACTCTGGAGGTGGAAGTCAATAGATGGAAGAGTAGAGAATCTGCAGCCAGAGCCAGCCCTTAGGGGCTGGCCCAGGCCTGGGCCCTCCCCAGCCACCGCATCTCCAGGGATTCCGCCTGTCTAGCATGGAGGGGAGGGACTGCCACCCATTCAAAGGTCACTGATACCAAGGTGGCGGCCATTACACATTGGTGTCCAGAGACTAAACAAGGAAACGGGAAGGTAACTGGGTGGGAAGGAGGTGAACACTACCTAGCCCAGCAGTAAACAGAGCTACAAGGGATTCTAGGAAAAGGAGGTCCCAGGGGCATGGTACCAGCTCCCTTAGACGCCCTTTGCCCGGTGAAGCTAGAGGTCAACCGTATCTATTTGCAGCCACAGGCAGTCTGGCCTACTAGGGTTCAGGACTGAGGACTGGGTCTTCACCGGAGAAGGGCTCTTGTGGCTAAGTAACAGAGTTTCCCTGGATTCCTTGTCTGCCTGGAGCTGAACCACTGGCCTGAGTGCCACCAGGACATGCACTGGCCTGGCTGGGGAATCCTGCCCTCATCCGTCCCCCGTCACTCAGGACCCTTCCCCGTCCATGGGCCCCATCCACCTGACGTCACCCATTTCTAGATGACCCCTGCAGCAAATGCAGGACAGAAGCCAGCAAAGTCAAGTTATTCTAAGCTGAGTGTCACAGACACCACGCAGGCAACACTGGAAGATTGCCCAGTTGTGTCCCAAGATTTTCAAATGAATTTCCAAAGATGTTCTTTGGAAGCTAAAAAACAAACAAAAAACTTTGGAAACCACTAATTCAATCTAGCTCCAGTTTTCAACAGATAGTGAAACCAAAGTTGGGGACCTGCTGGGGTCACACTGTGACTCAGAGCTGACTGGAGGACCGGAAAACACACCAGCCCCAGACTTTCACCTTTGTCCCAAGATGCTCTCTGGAGATGTTCCAGTCAGTTGCACACTGGGTCTTCAGAGAAGGTGGGGCTTTGTTTTGGAGCCTGAACAGTGCTCTGTGTCTGGTGTAGCCACTGGGGCATGTAGGGTTCAGCAATAGACACCATTTTAATGTATTTGCTGATTCTAAGAATTTCCCCCAGAATTAGAGCTGTAGGCAAAAGTTATAGCCAAGATGTTCATTTGGGCACCATTTGAAATAGTGGAAAAAGTTGCAACAGTCCAATGAAAAATCAATGCGGAAATGGTTAAAAGACTATGGAAGCAGGGCACTGGTGGCTCACACCTGTAATCCTAGCTACTCAGGAGGTTGATAGTTCAAAGCTAGCCCAGGCAGGAAAGTCCATGAGACTCTGATCTCCAATAAACCACTGGAAAACCAGAAGTGGTGGCTCAAGTGGTAGAGCACTCGCCTTGAGCTGAAGAGCTGAGGGACAGCGCCCAGGCTTTAAGCTCCATGACCAAAAAAAAAAAAAAAGATTATGGGACATTTGTATCATAGATTATTACATAGCCATTAAATAGGACATAAAAGAATAAGGGAATATGAATAATATCAAAAGATGTTACATCTATATACGAAGATGGCATGAGAACTCTTACTGAAAGGTGTAAAGGGAATGGGGAGATGGGCAGACAGAGCAATGGGCAGACAGGGCACTGTTCTGATTAAAATAAAGTACATGCATATGTGAAAGACCATGGCAAGCCGGGCGCGAGTGGCTCACGCCTGTAAGACTAGCTACTCAGGAGGCTGAGATCTGATCATGGTTCAAAATCTGCCCAGGCAAGGAAAGTCCGTGAGACTCTTATCTCCAATAAACCACTAGAAAACCGGAAGTGCGCTGTGGCTCAAGCGGTAGAACGTTTGCCTTGAGCTGAAGAGCTGAGGGACAGCGCCCAAGCCCACGACCGGACCCAAAAAAAAAAAAAAGAGAGGGATTGGGGAATACTTAGAGACAGAAGTCAGCCCTGGCCAAAAACAAAAGTCTGTGACAATCCATCTCTGATTAACCAAGAAAATGATGAGCTGGAAGTGTGGTTCAAATGGTAGAGTGCTGGCTGTAAGGAAGACCAGTATGAACTCAAGCTCCAATACTGACACAAAACAAAAACAAAAACCTATCTTAATAGGATCTAGCAGAGAGCCCCATAATGAAAGACACTATTTCCACTGAACTGGGCCTGGTGGTGCCCATCTGTAACCCTAGTGCTTAGGAGGCTAAGAAAGAAGGATTGTAAATTTGAGGCCAGCCAGGATGAACTACATAGCCAGACTGTCTTAAAAAAAGTTTTTACTAAAAACATAAGTTGAATAAAGATTATAAACTGTCTTGTCAGATTTTTTTTTAATATCAAATGAGTTTAAACCAATGTTTTCTTTTTTTGTGTGTGAGGGTCTTTGGGCTTGAACTCAGGGTCTAGGCACTAAGCTTTTTTACTCAAGGCTAGCACTTTACCATATGAGCCACAGCCACTTTCAGCTTTTTTATTTTTATTTTTATTAGTAGTTAATTGGAGATAAGTCTCATGGACTTTCCTGTCTGGGCTGGCTTTGATCTGTGAGCCTCAGATCTCAGCCTCCTAAGTAGCCAGGATTACAGGCTTGAGCCACCAGTGTCCTGCTGAGTTTGAACCAATCTAGTGAAAAAGCTCCCAGTTTTCAGAACTTTGGGGGTTTCAGCTTTACAAAGCAAGGTTTCACGAATGATCTTGGACACTGTGTGTGTGTGCACAAGAAGTACACACACACAGGGTAAAGTTTGTCTGCAGGGTGGATGAGATCTGCTATCGTAATGTTCTGTGAGCCACTGCCCTTCAGGATCTTCCAAGCACTTGCTTTCGTCTGCTACCTTTGGGGCAATGTGGCGTCTCTCCCTCCTGCTGTGCATCCAGCCAGACATAGAGCTGGCCCTCAGCAGGGACAACCAGGGGCCCAAGAACACTAGCTTTGCTATTAGGGGGATAACAAGAGAGCCGCCTTCGGCCTGTGTGGTTACCTGATCAAATTTCCTCTACCGCACCAAAGCTCCTATCTCCTCTGAACTCCTAGTCCCTGCCCCTTTGCTCATAACTAGTACTCCTCACTCCATCCCTTGGGGGGGGGGGGGGGAGGAGGACACCCTGCCCTCCTTAAAGGGAAGAAGAATCCAGGCCAAAAGAAACAAAGGTCCACAGGCTTTTTAATGGTGTGATGGCTACTTCCCTTCCAAGACCCGCTCTAATCACGACAGCAGCTTCCAGAGAGTCCGATGGGGATGGACAGGTGCAGGGCGGGCGGAGGCCATGCAATGTTTGGGACAGGTGTGTGTGTGGGGGGGGAGGTGTTACATTCTGTTTGGCATGTAAACATTCTTGGTGGCTTCCTAGGGAGGGGGGGTGGCTACTCCCTGTCCCCCTCCCCTCGCCCAAAGGCTGAGCAGGCTGAGCAGGGCAGGCCCCTGCAAGGACCCGGGGGAAAGCAGGGTGCCATGTGCCTGGCCCTGGCCCTTCTCCTGTGCCCCTCTGACATGGGGCGCGGGGGGGGGGGGGGGGGTCAGCAAGGGAGGGAAGGTGTGTTCTGAGGAGCAAATCCTATGTCGGAGCCTGTGACAGAGGCTGTCTGTGATGGCAGGGGAGTGCTGGGAGGAAAGGGGGCGGTGCTAGGACAGGCGGAGGGGTCCAGTGACACTCTCAGAGAGGAGGGGCTCAGGACCTGGGGGGGGCCTGTTGCAGCTGCAGGGAGGGACACTGGAAGATGTGGGTCCCTCTGCCCTGGGGGGTAGGGGCACACAGTCCCCTAGCTGCCCCCTCCACTGCCCTCCCTCCTCCCCACTCACCTGGGGACATTCAGTGACTCAGAGGCCTGGGGTCAGGTGAGAGCCCTAGCAAGGTCCGGGATCCCAAGGGCGGAAGGGTTTTGGATCTCTGCCAACTCTGGCCCTGATGGCAGCTGGGGACAGGGTAGATGGGGAGAGGGGACAGTCCCCTCCCCAAGCCAGGGTAGCGTTGGTCCTAGGGCAGAGGTGAGGCTGGGGGCCCTACATTCACGGTTCGTTTGGTGGCAAGGACCTGGGCACCGGGGTCATGCCCCGGTCCCACCTGGCATGAGTTGATTGTCGTTCAGAGCAGCCCTAGGTGGGAGTGGCAGGGCGCGGCCTTCTTCCAGCCTCTGCAGACCCAGAGGGCAGTCGAGGGCCTTGGCTGGCAAGGAGGGCTGTGTGTGGAGAGGTTTCCTGAGTGTTCTGGGAGCTTCTGCATCAGCATGGGATGGACCTGGAAGGCTGTCCACCCTCGTGTCCTTCCCTGGGCTGCTCTGCAGAAAGGCTACCCTCTTGGCATGGAAGCAGCTGCCCAAGCCCGCGGGCTCTCAAGCAGTTCAGCTGGTGCCACCAAACTGCGTGTGGGCCTCCTTCTGGCGATGGTGGGCAAGCGTGGCCAGGCCACAGGGACGTGCCATGGCCAGCCTGCCTTCTCCCTGGATGTCTTAGCTTACCCTCTGTGGCCAGGAGACAGGCTGCGGGGAGCTGAGGATGGAGGATATGTGGGAGGAGGGGGTCTGGTGGGGGGAGAGGCTCATGGTGGGATGGGAGGGGCCACAATCCTTAGGGAGCATGGGCTGCACGGCTGGGCTCTGGGCTCGGGGTCCAGGCTGAAGGGTGAGCAGAGGGAGGGAGGGAGGGAGGGTGGGCGCGGGGTCGGGGCTGGGCACCTATCACGGGACACACTGGAAGGGACAAGGGCCTTTCTGCCTCGGGGCGGCGGTGAGCCGGCTGCCGGGTTTCTGCTCTTCTGTCCCCTGGGGGAGATGCCGCGGCTCAGCCCCCTCCCCGCGCAGGGAGGACGCGCCAGGACCGGGTCCCCACATCTCCCAAGGGCCACACAGAAGGTGACGGCCCCCAACTGCTGTCCTGGGGCGAAGGGCTGGCTGCGGCTGCAGCAGGCCGCGCTGCGGGCAGGCGCGGCAAGAGTTCCTCGTGGAAAGGGATCCTGAGCACTGGGCGCGGCCACGGCGAGGAGGGGAACCTTCTCCAGGACTCCCTCCAGGCTCCGTGGGAAACCTTTGCCCAAGACGAGCCCTCAGGGCAGGCGCTGCCCCCACCCTTCCCCCCGGGGGCCCGGGAACCGGGGCCCGCTACCCCACCTTCCCAGCCCGGCAGCTGGGCCGTCACCCCGACACCCCGACACCAGGACCACTGTGGGGAGCAGGAAAGCAAATTCCACTTCCGGAATTTGAGGCTGTTTCTCCCAAAGAGTGGGGGGGTGTTGGTGGTGGGAGGCGGGCGTGGAGGGGGGCGAGGCGCTGCGGGGTGGGGGGTCAGCAGAGGGTCCTGGGGCCCCCCGCGGAGGGCAGCCAGGGCCTGGTGGGGGGCAGGGGGACAATCCCCAGAAGTGGAGTTCTGGGTGGAAAGTGGCTGAGCCTTCCCGGGGCGGCGGCTGAGGGGGGACCGGAGCCCCCTTCCCCCGGGACGCGGACCGCCCGGGCCGGCGGCTGGGCGGCGGCCTGGCACAGGTGCTCGCGTCCCGGCGGGTGCGGGGGGAGGCGGGGGCCGCGGTGGCGTAAGGCTGTGCTGGGAGCTGGCCGGCTGCGAGTGGGGGGGGCCCGGCGAGGGCTGGGGGCGCCGCGGAGAGGGCGCCGGGCGTCATTATCTGGTCCCCGCCCGGCCTTCCGCGGCCCCGGCCCGGCCTTTGGTTGCTGCGCGCTGAGTCTGGAGTTTCCCTCGGGGTCCTTTCTTGGGGCCCGCGGGGGTGGGGGTGCTGTCGGGCGGGGCCCGGGCCGGCGGGGGGCCCCGGGGCGGGAGGCCCGCGGGCCGGGCGTGGTGCGACGGGGAGGGGCTCTCCTTGCGGGGCAGGGACTGGCTTCGGGGCGCCGCCCCGGGGTGGCGCGGGGTGGCGTGGGGGAGGCCGGGGCTGCGGGGCGCTGCGGGCCTGGCGCCCCGGGCCCGCCCTGGGACGGGGCCGGGGCCCGCGCTGCGGCCGGGAGGCGCGGGCTTGGGGCGCGGGTCGGCGGCCGCGGTGGACCCGGGGGGTTTCTGCAGCTGGCGCCTGCTGGGGTGCGGAGGGCGAGAAAGAAAAGGGAGACGTGCGGTCAGAGCCCCGAGGGTGCGGGCTGGGGCGGGCGGGGCCTGAACTCTGGGCCTGGGCGCTGTCCCTCAGCTCTTCAGCTCAAGGCCAGCGCTCTACCGCTTGAGCCACAGCGCCAGTTGCGGTTTTCTGGAGGTTCATTGGGGATCCGAGTCTCACGGACTTTCCCGCCCGGGCTGGCTTTGCACTGCGATCCTCAGATCTCAGCCTCCTGAGTAGCTGGGATGACGGACGTGGCCCAGTCCCCTCCCTCGAGCCCGGGACAGAGCCCGAGTGAAGTGAGCGACCGGCAGGAATAGGGTGGAGGCTCCTTCTGGAACCTCCCAGAGCCCTGGCCCTGGCCCAGGCTATGGAGGGGCCTCTGCGGGCGAGGTCTCAGGGTCCCCCTTCGCTCCTCGCGGGCCCGCGGTGGGGGGCGGTTCTCACCTGCTGGTGATGGCTGTGTCGGGTCGGCCGGGGGTCTGCGGGGCCGCGGGCGCGCGCGCGCTGACGGGGCGGGGGATCCGGCTGCGCGCGGCGGCTGCGCGGCAGGCCTTGGCGGGCGCGGCGGCCGGGGGCTCGGAGGCGGGCGCGTCCTCCTCGGAGCCCGTGCCGGACAGCGTCTCCGAGGCGCGGCGGGGCTCCTCGCTGGAGGACGACGAGGCGGCCGAGGCCAGGCGCAGCAGCAGGCGCCCCTGCCGCTTCTCCATCACCAGCCGCGCCAGGTCGGGCTGCGGCCGGACCCGTTTGCTCCGCCACTCTTTGGCCGACAGCGAGCCCGAGGGCTCGGAGCCCGTGTCTTCCTCGGACAGCAGGACGGGAATCCGGCTCCGGGGCCGGGGGCCGGGCCCGGCGTGGAGGCTGGGGGAGATCGCGGCCCCTTTCTTGGGGCGCGGCTCCGCTGGGGACACTGGAGGGGCCAGTCCTGCGGCCGGGGCCGGGCCATTGGGCAGTGTGACCCCCTCCGCGGGGCTCTGCCCGGGGGGCACCGAGCCAGCGCGGCGCTCCCCCTCAGCGCCGTCCAACCCATCCTCCAGGGGCGCGGGGGCCCCCGCCTCGCCGGGGCCCCGCTCGGCAGGCCCCTCGGGCCCCGGCTCCCCGCCGCTGCCCCCCTCCGGCCTGCAGGCCTGTCCTCCGGAAGACATGACGTTCAGGTGGGTCTTCTCGGCAATGTGCACGAAGGTCCTCTCGACTTTGGTGAAGGGGGAGGAGGCCGCGGCCACGCCCCCTGGCCCAGGGGTCGCCGCCCCCCCGGCCCCCGGCCCGGGCCCGGGAGGCTTGGGCTCAGACTTGAGGACGGAGGACAGGGTGCCCGGCTCTGACACGTCCAGCTGGCTGCCCGCGGGCTGAGGCCGTTCGTGCTGAGGGGTGAGGGCGGCCAGCGTGCCCAGGTCCGGATCAGGGGCCAGTTCGGCAGTGACCGGCGACTTCTTCATGTCGCCGGGGGACACCAGCACCAGCGTTTTGGAGCCTTCTTCGGGCTCCAGGTCCCCGTCCGCCATGGAAGCCCGGCCCCTGCCCTCCTTGTGATCATCAGCCAGCAGCGTGGATGGTGCTCCCTCCTGGCTCCGGTCTGTGCTCCTCTCGCTCCCCTCACTGCTAGAACCACTTCGAGGCCCCAGCACCTCCCCCGGAACCCCTGCTTCCTCCTCCTCCTCTTCTTCCTCCTCCTCTTCTTCCTCTTCCTCCTCCTCCTCCTCTTCCTCCTCCTCCTCCTCCTGCTCTTCCTCCTCTTCCTCCCTCCCATTAGCCTGAGGATGCACTGGAGCCGCAGCGGCCTGGGCGGTGGTGAGCAGCATGTGGGAGAAGCCCACTCTCCGGACCCTGTTGAGCAGCCGCGCTCGCTCTCGGTAATCGGAGAGATCTCTCTTGAAGTGCTGGTAGGGCAGGCTGAGAGGGACAGCTCGAGGAAGGCCGTTCACCTCGGCTGGGGGCGCCACGGAGAACATCTGCAAGGGGACACACGGATCCGCTCAGGTCACCGGCTCAACTGACCCCACTCGCCAGGACACGCCCCTGTGCCAGGACACGCCCCTGTGCTAGGACACGCCCCTGTGCCAGGACACGCCCCTGTGCCAGGACACGCCCCTGTGCTAGGACACGCCCCTGTGCCAGGACACCCCCCGGGCCAGGACCTAGGGTCTACAGGATGCTAGAATGTGTTTCATTGGTGTCGGTAACCTCCTCCCAGCCTGCACTGCTCTCTTGCACCTTTGAAGTGCTCAGTAGGGCCCCAATGATTGTGCCCCAAGTTCTAGGCCCCAGACCTTGATCCTGATCTTCGCTTTTCTTTCTCCCTGTCCTCTCTACTTACCTTCCCCTCTCTTCACCATGCTCATCCTGACACCAGAACCAACCGGAGTATTTAATTAGTAACAGAATGACTGCCATTAAGATCACCCTTCTCAAGCTGGGTGCTGGGGCTCTCACACCTGTCATTCTAGCTATTCCGGAGGCTGAGACCTGAGGATTGAGGTTTGAAGTCATCCCCGGTAGAAAAGTCTTTGAGACTTTTTTTTGTCGGTCGTGGAGCTTGAATCTGGGCCTGGGCGCTGTCCCTCAGCTCTTCAGCTCAAGGCGAGTGCTCTACCACTTGAGCTACCTCGCCAGTTTTTGGAGCAGTTTATTGGACATAAGAGTCTCACAGACTTCCGTGCCCAGGCTGGCTTTGAACTGCAATCCTCATATCTCAGCCTCCTGAGTAGCTAGGACTACAGGCATGAGCTACCAGCGCCCGGCTCCTTTGAGACTCTTATCTCCAATTAGCAACAAGAAGTTGGAAGTGGGCAGTGGCACTGGGGCTCCAGTGGTAGAGCGCTAGCCTGGAGAGCGAAAGCTCAGGGCCAGCGCTCAGGCCCAGTGTTGAAGCCCCAGGACAAAAAATAAAAAATAAAAAATCACCCTTCCCTTTCCAGGTGAGGCACCCAGGCAAGGAATCTGTGTCATTTCCCAAGGGGCTTTGCCTGTGCTGGGCCACACCTGTACTGGCCCACAAGTGACTGGCTGCTCTAACCCCAGCCTGCGAGCTGCCCAGGATCACCGGAGCCCGTGTTGGACAAGGGCAAAGTTAGGGCTGTCCTGTCTCACCCTGGCACGCAGGCCCTTCCCTCCTGTCCCGGCATCGCCTGTCAGCCAAGACTTGGTCTAGTCCACAACTTGCATGCAGATTTAAACAATTCGCTTTTCCTCTGGGGAACCTTGGGCAGAAGCCTTGGCAATGGAATGAGTGTTGAAAGAATGTAAACCACATCCTCCATTTGCCTCCTTCCTTCCGGACAAGAAAGGCACTTGAGCAGGACTTCCCCTCTCCCCTTCACCTCGGTGCCTTGTCTGGCTCTGCCCTGTTCACCCCACAGACATCCCTGGGCACCCATAATGCACCAGGCCCGTGAGGGCTGACACAGCTTCGCTCCGCAGCGGGAGGGAACTGACAGTGCTCGGCACATTGTTAGCCTCTAAAACACACTGGGCCTCTGTCTTCCTGACCCAACGACACAGCCCATCCAGTCCCAAAGGCCCGGGGACACTGACATCGCCAACACCAGCTTTTCCACCACTTCACCATGTCTGTGCCTGCTCGTCTCCACCCTCCACTGCCAGCCATCCTTCTTACAGCTGCCCAGGTGATCATTCTTTCTAGAACTCAGATCTGCTTCCATCTCTCTCTGACCCCTACAGTCCTCAGGTGACATTTTCTTGCTTGGTAGAGGAGCAAACCCCACACTCTACCACACCTGGCTCTATTCTGCCAAGGCCTGACTGTCCCCTGCCCTGTGTCCCAGTCTTTCTGGGGCTACCAGTACTTCTCAGGGCACAGCCTGGATCTCACACTTTGCCCAGGCAGCTTCTTTGCCTAGGGGTCCCCCCTCATCCCCTCTATTCTCATGAGAAACCCCTGCTCGCCTGCAACACATGCTGTCCCCTGAAACCTTCCTGTCCACCCCACCAAGCACACGTCACAACTCTGTCTTCCACTTGTTTGCCTGCGCCCTTCTTGTCTGTGTGCATGGATTTATACAGTGTTCTTTCCCACAAAGAGCACATCTGAAGGAGATTTCATATATTCATGCATTCACTCATTCATTTCTTCATTCACTAATTCCAGAAGTCCTTTTGGACATCTGCTGTTCTTTCTTGCTGCATGACAAGCTAGGAATCTGTGGGTCCAGTGTTGAACAAGATACACAAGGTTTTTCTTTGCACACAGTGTGCCAAGTCTATAACACACAAAGAAATGGAGAGAAAGTCATGTGTCGGATGCTGGAGGCTCACGCCTGTAATCTTAGCTACTCAGGAAGCTAAGATCTGAGGACACTGGTTCAAAGCCAGCCCAGGTAGATAAATCTAAGAGATCCTTATTTCCAAAAAGCTAGAAGGAGAAATGTGGCTCAAGTGGTAAAGTACCAGCCAAGAGCAAAAAAGCTAAAAGATAGCACGAGACCTTGCCTTCAAGTCCCAGTATCAGCAATAAACAAACAAATGAATGAATGTATGTCATGGAAGCAATTGGCCTACAGACAGCTCAATAAATGCTAGCTCTCTCCCTGGCTTCCCTCCTCCTTCCCACTCCTTCCATCCTGGCCCAGAGGCCACTGTGTCCTTCTGCAGCCTTAGTAGGGTCTCCACACCATACCTGTAGCAGCAGGCAAAGGAGCCACTCTGCTGGCTGAGGCTTCAGTACAAAGTACCGCTACAGAGGCTGGTGGAGGTTGAGGTAGGAAATCTCCAAAGCTTAGCATCTGCCAAGGCTGTGAGGTCCCCTCCCCACCTGCCACCATCTTCCCTGTAATCCGCCACCTGTGAGGACTTGGTGGGGCAGGGGAGTAATGCAGTGAGGAAAGACTGGGACCCTGGATGGAAGCCCCAGACAAATGCTTTCTTCTTTTTCCATGCCATTCATTCTTTCTTACTCTCCCATTCATTCATTCACATACTGTCTATGTGCTAGGCTAGGGTGCTTTGCCATGCCCATTTAGCAGTGTGTCCGTCAGACAGAATGGCTGGAAGAAGGTAGAAGAGGCTCTTTGAAGTTTCTGGTGAGTGGAGACACGAGGCAGGTGATGGCACTGAAGGCCAGGGCCAGGTGGACAGCGCACAGCTCTGAAAACGTTCTTCTCTCCTGCCCAGCTTCCCCCACACACACCTAGCACCCTGCCAGCAGGACACCACAGGTCCCCACCAGGTCCCCCTCCCTCTGTAGAACTCTGCATATGTTCCCTGGTGCATTTCTGATGTCGGGAACATTGCTGTTGGGACCACTCTTTCCCCTGAAACCTGTCAGCAAAATTCCCACCCGGAGGTGGCACCCCTTCCCCCCAACACACAGCGCCTACACTGCAGTCAGGATTAGCACGCTCTCTCCTTCCATCCTCGCCTCCTCCGACCCAGCAGAGTGGACAAATGACAACCAAAAGCAATCCTCAATGGTCACCAAAGGACCAAGGCCCGAGAGTGGCACAGATGTGGCATTGGTCTAGATTGAGCAGGTCAGCCAGGGACGCCCAGGGTTCAGGCTACATCCAGCACCTCACCAGCCTCCACCCCAGATCCCACGCCGAGGAACTTGGGAGGAAGGGCTGCGAAGCTGAGTGGGGACAGCTCTGTCTGCAGCCTCTACACCCTTCAGAGCCTGGCCTCAAGTTCTGCCTCCCCCGGTGGGCCAGCGAGCTATATGCCCACTTGGCCCTGTCTTCATTCACAGCCAACTGGTACAGGACCTCTTTGTACTTTGCCCCAGAGGCCTGTGGACAACGGGAGGGGTGAGGAATGCAGCAGTGATGCCACCCTACCCCAGCACTGGGCCAGGTGCCAGCAGAGCAGAGAGAGCTGGCAGAGCTCACACCTCCATGCTCTCCTCCCAGGGCAGCGGACCTTTATGATTCTAATTTGCTTATTTAAGTCTCTCAGGCCTCCATGGTGATTCAGAGTCTGGCAAAAGACAGAGGTTGTAAGGGTTGGATCCTCGGGGGAGGGGAGGTGGCTACCGAAGCTGAGAGAATGACCTCCTCAGCCCTTCCTTCCACCAAGCTCCCGAGCTCCCGCTCCATCCAGATAGCTGCGGGCTGAGCTCCCGGCTTCAGGGTCCAGCCCAAGTCCATGTTTATTCTCGTCAACAGCAGAAGTGAAAGGACTAGGATGGCAAGACCCCAATTTTCCCTTGCCACCTACCAAACTGTGCTCTGTGACTCTGATCCTGGAGAGAGGCTCCGCCCCCGGGGCAGGCCCAGGCCCAGTGACTGAGAGACTTCCTTGCTAGGACCCTGGCCAAACCCAAAGACCTGGAACCACGTATCAGTTCAGAGTGGGGGGGGGGGGGGGGGCTAGGATGGGCTGAGTGACAAAAGCAGGAGGGGAGGGGGTAGCCCGCCCTGCCCCTGAGAAAAACTCCCCTCCCCAACCCCGAAGCCGGGCCTGAGAGGTGGATCAAGGTGTGGGTCAAGTGCCCTCCCCGCAGCCTCAGCCAGCAGCTACCTTCCTCAGGGGCATCTGGGTCTGCTGCCCCCCACCTCCGCGCATCTCCGCAAAGCCTAGAGTCCCCCCCCCCCCGGGTGGGGGCTCTGACCAGCGAAGAGCTTCCTGGCTACACAGACCCCACACCTGACCCCCTCCACCAGGCCAGCCCTTGACCTCTGCGGGCCTCCCTGTCTCCACCTGGCTGGGGGTGTGGGGGTGTCCGAGGCGTGTGGGGGAGGGGAGAGTCCTAGTGTGCCGAGGAGGAGTTGGGTGCAGCCGCGGCCCGCCTTCCGCCATCCCCAGCACGCACCGGGGAGAGGCGGGCCGCCCACCGCGGCCGCGGCCAGCGCTTCAGCCCACCGAGGACCGAGGACGGAGCGATGGGTCTGACTCTCTTCCTCCCTCCCTGGCTAGCGGGCAGAGACCGGAGTCCACACCACCTCTCCCCAGAACGGCCGGCTGGGGAGGGCCCCGGGGCCCCCCGGGTAGGCGGACC